ATATATATATATATATTTGTACCAATTACAAAAGAATAAATTGGTATATTAAAATTTTTTTTATTAATGTTTTTTTGTCTAACAATTTAGAATGATAAGAAGTCACAATTGGTTGTAACTTTACTATATGATGAATTTTTTTCTGTGATTTTATGCTTATATAATAAAATAGAAGTAAAAAATGAGCTCATTGTTTATTATAGTTTTATTATTGGAATCATATATGATGAGAATGATTATAAGTTAATTAAACTTGAACTATAATTTATATACTCTCAATCTTAGATAATTTAGGCTTTTATATACAACAATTATTTAGCATTATAATTGATTTAAACTTTGTTTTGTCTTTAAGATTATTAAATTTCAAGATAGAAACATTTTTTATACACTTTTAACTTTTAGGATATAATTTCCAAACAATACTTTTTTTTTTGATAAAGGGCTTAATTTCCAAACAATACTTAAAACATGAATATATGATTGTAATAAAGTGAGTAATGTACAAAAATCTAAGTTGGAATCAATTTTTTTCTTCGTACCAGTATGAAGGTTACGATGTCATGTTCATTTGAATATGCTGTATTTAAACTCATTTCCCACCAATTGAGAGATTTGAAATGAGATAAGTGATCACCTGAAAAATCCTAAATGTGCATATTTATAGTAAAGTAGATCATAAGCACCTTAACTTTCACTACACATCTTTTTATTATGTCCAAAGCAATCATTTGAGTGTTCTATTTGAGGTGTCTTGTTATTTTGTTTCCTCTTAAATTCCATCATCCTCGGTTCTGGTTTTGACTCTTATTTGAACCACTTCTATTTTCACATGCATGTTCTGATAGAGTATAATACCACTGAAGCTGAGATTCTCTAGAATATAGTCTTCATGAACTATCTAGTTCCATGACTGAGGATCTGAAGCGATTATAATTAGTAAACCACAACTAAGACCATTCTCCTTGCAAGACACAAGATCATCTCCCTAGTCAGTATCTATTCGTTTCGGTTCCTCCAGATTTTGTTGATCATTCACTTGTATCTCTTGAGCCGCTATTCTTATCTAATCGCCTTTTACAAAATATCAATGCGGTAAGAAACCTCAATCCTAAGAGCAACATTATAGGTGGAGATGTGATTTAGGATATCTCATAATTTAAACACTAGTATTTTTGATAAAGAAGAACTACATAAATAAAATTGTTATACTTAGCCTCTTAAAATATAACAACAAGTGGCAAGAGGGAAAATAGTTGGGGGGGGGGGGGTCAGAAAAGATCGGGGCAGAGAAATTCTTCTCAGATATTCAAGCTCTCTCTCTTCTTTTTATTTTACTTTTCTTTTTCTTTAATAACTAGACTAGGGTCGATCCGCATTACGCGCGGAATATATTTTACGTATGATATATGAATCTATACTATTTATATTCTAGTTTCTTGTGCTTTATATCTTGATATGCAATTAAAATGTATAATAATGTCTGTTGTTATTTAAGAGAAAAACCAAATCAAACCAAATTAAACCGAACACAAATCAAACTAAACTCAAACTGAACCAAACCAAATCAAATACAGACAAAACCAAATTTATTTTAATTGAATTCAATTGAAGTTTTTCAGAACCCAAACAAGCCAAACTGAACCCAAACCAAATTTAACCAAAATGTTCATCCCTACCCATAAGGTTTGTCACTATAATTATTATTGACAAAAAAAAAATTGATACCATCTGTGGCTGAGTGATTCATAGAGTTTGAGTAACCAGATCGGAATAGAATAACCAACAAAACAGAGTTTTCTATAGAAAGATCTTGCATTCTTAGCTTAGGAGTCCAAAATTCCATTTTGAGCTCTTGAAATATGGAATATCTCGAAGGCTGGAAAGCAGATGAGTAATGACTTGATTGTCTCCAATTCTGTTGCAATCTCGGCCAGTCTCCAGGATTCTTTATCATCACAACTAGATCCTTACATTATGTTCCAAAGCGCTGACATGACGAACGTTGAAGCATGTTCTCCATTGTGCATCGCAGTGCTTCTACTTCCGAGTGCAAAGCAGTCTCTATCCTTGTCAAGTTTCGCATACCAATGAGTTGGGGCTTTCCAATGCAATCCATCCACATCCATTAAATTGCGCCGTGGAGGTCCAGGAACCATCCACATACATATTTTCTCCAGGCTTATGATCTGAGACTCATTACTCTCATGCTCTTGTGTGACAGGGGATACAATCTCGTTTGCAATATGCCAGGCCTGGCATTCACTTTCTGCATATCGGACTAATTCCAAAGGGTCTCTGTCGATCCCTCTGAATAACATATCATTTCTAGCCTTCCAAATATACTAGATTATCCAGGAATAAGGATCTCTTTCTAACTCCGGCACAACAATATTGTTCTTCCGCCAGAAAAGATAGTCCATATCGGCGTAAATGCTTCCTTTTGGAAAGATGTGTGGACTAGATGGCGTTGTTGAATGTGCCCAAACTTGCAAAGCAGGAGGGCATTCAACGATGGCATGCGTAACTGTTTCCTCTGGATCCCCACATCTTGGACAATAGTTATCACAAATCTCATATTCCTGTGATTCAATTTTTTATGTAACAGCCACATGACCAGTTAGCAGTTGCCACATAAGATGGTGTCTCTTCTGAGGGGATTTTACTTTCCAAGCAAAGCTTTCTTTAGCCATCAGGTCACCTGCTGCAAGGATCTCCGTCCTCCTTCCCTGCTTTATTTCTCATTCCGAAGCTCCCGGTAGTGTGCTGATATGTAACCTTGCTGTCTCCACTGCATCTTCTAGGTTGCGTAGCGGAATGATGAGCCAAAACGACCGTTTGCGCTTGACTGTGCTCTTCATCTTCAGTGGTGTAGCAGAGGATTTACTTTCTAGCCATCTTCTGTGTTAGCTTGGGATTTTCTTTGTCAACGTCCTCCTCCCGCGGACCTCCGGTGTGTGAACCAAGCGCATCCGTCGATGCCAACTAGGAGCCACTTTGGTGAGGCTCGATCGAACTAGCCTTCAGGTTATTCTCATGCTCTCTGTTTCAAACCAGTAGAACATGAAGTGCTTTGGTATGGGAGCTCAAAATGCTGACTTTGTGATTCATTGTAATATTAACTTCTTGCAGTTATGGTTAGTTAGTGTTGATTTCTTTAGGTTTTTTGGGGTTTTTTAAAACTTTTTGCGACCTCTTAAATCTGATCAGCTGAAAAACATCTTTTGGTTTCAATAACTTGTAACCGGATCTTCATTATCTTCTTAATGATATTTAGAAGAAAAAAAAAGAGAAGAATTAGGCTCGTCTTGAAGGCCGCAAAAGTCTCAAAAGTCCAAGAATCCTTAGGAAATAGCCAAATGGTTTGCGCCGCGTGTATGAATTATAATCTGGTTGGCAAAACTAGGATGATTCGTTAGGCTATTGTCCCTATTATAAGGGCATAACTCTTTGCTCCAATTATACCAACGTAGCTAAGGCTAGGGGTACGGAACAAACACTAGCAAAATATTCAATACTGTGAATTTGTGATATATATCGTATGTTATAAAATTAAGATTTTTATTTGTATTCGGAAGAACAGATATCTAAAAGTAGATAGCCAAAATTAAAATGTATTATATATATCATTTATTGTTTAGATTTACTTATATAAAATGGTTACAAATAAACAAATGTGTTTTTTTATTTATGTGTTCATGCTAATTTTATATATATATATATATATATAATAGTTACTAATTTCTCATTAATTCAATATATATATTTATTATTATAATATGTTAAAACACAAAATAAATAATAATATGTAAACTAATTTTTATATATAATTTTTATCACGCACATTTGCATGGATCTTTAACTTATAATTGTTATAACATGCAATTCCTTTTGTAATGGAAACTATAAATTAATGTTTTTGTTGATAAGTGTAAATGTAAAAACAAAAATGCAAGTTCCCAAAAAAAAATTGTAACTTATTTATCTTTATTTAATTTAAGCGAGCAAATACATAGTCTCCAAATTCTTGAATTTTGTTTTAAATCCAAGAAAATGCCCAATGCCCAAAATCTGTAATAGTCCAAGCTTCGATTTGTTCTCGAGACATCTAATCTATTAAGACTGAAGTACAAATAGTACTTACCCCTTATAGTTGCACAAAAATTACAATAGAATGCCACTCCTTTTTTTACTCTTAACCATAAATAATTTTAATAAATGAAATTACAAAATACATAATAAATAATGTTTCCATAAAAAATCGTATGTGATACATCAGATTTCCTAATATTTAGCTAACATAAAAGATTAGAATCTTTCATTTCCTAAACAAATATAAAATATAAAAGGAAAATCAGTGACAAAGTTATTTTGAGGATATGTTTACCAAGATATAGATTTTTTAATTTTTTTAAAAACCTCATAAATGAGTAATTTGAAACCATTAAAATTCAGA